TAGCATGTCTCTGATTTCAGTCAGCTTCTTGAAAAAGTGGGAGTCCTTCTTCCCAGGACTCCAAGTCCAAAAGTCATTGCCATCAAGATAAACAGAATGAACCCATTGCACCCACAGGGTTTCCTTGTTAGAGGCAATATTCCACAGGTTCTTGCTCAAAAGTGCCTGATTCCAGATTATGGGCTGATTCAAACCAAGCCCCCCTTCATCCTTGGGCTTGCAGATATCCTCCCAAGCAACCTTACAGAACTTACTCCCCCAAAGGAAAGTTCTACAAAGGGAGGTTATCCTATCCAAGACAGATTTATGAATAGGGAAAGCTTGGAACCAGAAGCCTTCAATTCTTTGGATAACAGATCTGATGAGTTCCAATCTTCCTGCAGCAGACAGGGTTTTGGTATTCCATTTTCTAATATGTTCATCCACCTTATTCACAAGTGGGGCAAAGTCTCTTTCAGAAGCTCTCTGTGAGGTCAGAGGGAGTCACAGGTATCTAACAGGCAGTTTACCCTGAGGGAAAGGCACCAAAGCAAGGATATCCTCTCTCCTGTCTTTGATCTCTCCAGCCAGAAAGATATTGGATTTGAGAGGGTTAAGTTTGGAGTGCTTAACCCGTTGGGTCCGACCCGACCCGACCTGACCCGAAATTTTAACGGGTCCTCGGGTTCGGGTTATTTCGGATTCGGGTCACAAAATTCATGTTCAAAACCCACTAATTTCGGGTCGGGTTTCAGGTAAAAAATGGGTCGGGTCATTTTTTGCCAGGTCTATCTCTAACTTTACTGCATTCATATAAGAGTACTAATTTAAACTAATTTTTGAGTCGCTACCACAGTTTGTCATATAGTTGTTCATCTATCGGGGTGGAAGTTATATTCTTTGGATGTGAGCATCCCAAGCGTCATGTGATATGGAGTTTCTATTGCTGAGTTATTATTTTCCTTCCACATACGTTTGACCAGCCTAGCTTTTGAAGTGAAATAGACTTCCCCAGTTTAGTCGGTATTAGTTCCTTGCGTATTCCTCAACACCCAAACTTTTGTAGGTTTTATAAGGTTCCTGTTGCAAAAGTTATTCCATACACAGTGAGCTTTGTTCAAGGTTTAATAGATTTTGGTGGCTAAATGATATGAGCTATAATTTGGCAGGTCCCAGTGGGCGTGGTTGAAGCCATGACAGTGTTAAAACATCCATTGCCCAGTGCATAAGGGTTTGTGGGTTTTGAAAAACAAAAGGTGTGTTACTAACAAAAGGCATGTTAAAACATTCATTGCCCAGTGCCCATTGTCCAGTGCTTTTTTTTCTCAACTCATTACTGATTTGATATTCTTTAATTTGTTTTTTATTACTTTTCAGATGAAAGAAGAAATGGAACTAGGAAGCTTGATCCATCCATAGCCAGCAAAGGCCATCCGAGGTATGGACAATGAATAAGGTAGTGGCTTTTACTAATAATATTTTTTGTGTTTAATTCATTAAGTTTCTAGGCATTTAATTCTAAGGCCCATTTGAAATTAGAATCCTCTTGCGTACTTTCTAACTTCCTATTTTATTAATGTTATTGACTACATTACAATACATTATACGAAGTAATTTTATCTCAGATTTTATATAGCCTTCTACTCTCATGTATCACCTCTTGACAAGTAACTCCTAAAGATTAAAATTAAAGCATTTATAATAATCGTGCCCTTTGCCCCATTGCCATTTGTATATCTTGTCTAATCTTCCCCATCCTCACTTGGGTTGCCAATAGCTTCTCTACATCCCCCTCATTGACTTCAAATAGAAATCTAAAAATATTTGGATACCACATGACAACACAACAAACAAAAGAATTCCTCAAAAACCAAACCCAACTGACTTTTAATCACATTCTAAAGCCAAACTCAGATCTTTATTGAGAAAAAAATAAAAATCAATCCAAATTTTAACCCAATCAAAACCTAATATGAATCCATCCAGACTGTAACACATACACACAATAGTACTAACATAGATAATAGATATAAAATTGGACATAAACTAGGAAGGAATTAAGTAACAACTCAGATTTAGAGTTTATACCAGCAAAAAAACTATTCGAGGCTCGAAGTTCTTTGATTTGATGCTGAAATTTCCATCATTTGTCGTTCTCTGCTGCCCAGCTCGTAGCGTCAACCATAAGGTCTTCACTCCTCCCCTGGTTGCTGGCACACCCTTCCGCACCCTCCAAAAACTAGCCCTTTCGTTGTCTCACCTTCGTCGGACTCTGCTTCCCCAGAGTAACTGTCTGGTTCAGAGAAAGTCACGATCGCATAGATTTAGTGAATTGTGAATGATTTTCCTCTCATTGTGCATTTACTCTTGATGCAGGAGAGGATCAAGAGTAACGTGAACTCTTTGTTAAGGCCTTCATTTTTAAATTTTTGTGTCTTTGGGCCTTCGGCCTATCTTTTAGTTAGCCCATTTATTTTTATTCTTAGGCCCGTTTTGTCTTCCATCTTTTAGGGTTTCACTCCCTTCGTTTTTCAGCTATTTATAGCCCGGCTTGTGGGCATATTTCAGTCAGACTATCATTATTTGAGAATTTTCCCTATACCTAGAGCGGAATTCTTCCCCTAGCGTTTCAATCTTTCCCTTTCTTTCGTTGTTCTTTTAGTTCTAGCCCTACGCCTTGATTTAATTCGGCGTCAGTTGGTATCGGAGCCAGGTTCGACGAATAAAGGAAGATCATCCTTCGACATCAATGGTGCGTGCACGAGGTCGCGGCATTGGGCAACCAATGGGTAACGAATGAAAAATCAATAGTCTCAAAGCTCCTAGATACACATTTGGAGTTTGAACAGACGTCTTACAAATGAAAAAATTCACAAAGCCTAGAATTGTAATGCTATTAGGCCTGGGATTATGATTAATTGGAATGATTTGTTTATTTATATTTATTATTTTAATACTTCTCTAAAAGGGAGATGAAGATCTCTTCGACTCAGGTATATATTAAAAAAAGGAAAAAAACTGCAGCGGTAGGTTTTATAAGGTTCCTGTTGCAAAAGTTATTCCATACACAGTGAGCTTTGTTCAAGGTTTAATAGATTTTGGTGGCTAAATGATATGAGCTGTAATTTGGCAGGTCCCAGTGGGCGTGGTTGAAGCCATGACAGTGTTAAAACATCCATTGCCCAGTGCATAAGGGTTTGTGGGTTTTGAAAAACAAAAGGTGTGTTACAAACAAAAGGCGTGTTAAAACATCCATTGCCCAGTGCCCATTGTCCAGTGCTTTTTTTTCTCAACTCATTACTGATTTGATATTCTTCAATTTGTTTTTTATTACTTTTCAGATGAAAGAAGAAAATAGTCGAAGGAGACAACGGCGGGATTGGGATTATGGTTCGAAACCCTAGCTCTAGAACATGAATCTTTGATGCATAAAACAGCAAGAAGATGCAGTGATCGAGTAGGAACCCAAAGAGCGATGGTCTTGAGAACTACCCCCGGCGAGAAACTTGTGACGAAACTTGTGACGAGATGGTACAGAAACGAAGCCAAATTCATAGTCCAACCATTAGTGTTTTCAAGGGTATACTCTTTAACTCCATATTTTTTTTTCTTTAGTTTCCTCTTCCTTTTTGTGTTGATTTCCTGTTTATTATCCAGTTCTAGTTGTATTGTGTATGTTTTAGGGCTTGAACAAAGATGAAATTATATTTAATCCTGTTAAATGATTGATTTCGTTTATATTTTAAATATAATGCACTCATTGATTCTTTTTTATATGTTATGTTTAAAGCTTCAGGAAAATTTTTATGTCTTATTGTTTAATTGATAATTTTGGAGGCTGAGTCTCAATCCTTGCCCGAAAAGGGCAATTTATACTCCTTATAAATTTGTTCAGTTTGATAATATGAATTTTTTGTTTGTGACTTTGTATAGTCTTGTTAATTTGATAATCTAAATTTTCAATTTGTTGGAGGCTGAATTTGAATCCTTTCTTAATAACAGTTTGATAATGACCTTGTCCTTTCGTCAGTCTGAATTTGTTTCACGCTCCTATGTCCACAGCAACATGGCCGGCTTCGTCAGTCTTCTCGAAGTCTGCAAGAGCGGGAACCCACAACTCGCCATTGTCTGTGCATCTTCAAGCTCCGTCTACGTCTTGAACTCCAAAGTTCCCTTTTCTGAATAGGACCGAACAGATCTGCCGATGAGCTTCTATGCCGCCACCAAGAAAGCTGGTGAGGCAATCGCCCACCCCATCGTCTCAACTATCATATCCCTCACGGCGTCTCCTGGACTTTATTCTAAGGCCCATTAGAATCCTCTTGCGTAGTTTCTAACTTCCTATTTTTTTAATGTTATTGACTACATTACAATACATTATACGGAGTACTTTTTTCTCAGATTTTATATAGCCTTCTACTCTCCTGTATCACCTCTTGACAAGTAACTCCTAAAGATGATCTTAGGCTCAATCTCCGCCTAAAATATACTAAGAAATCTCCACATGGTGCAATATTTGTTAAACAAAACCTCCCAAAGGTTAGCCGTTCTCTTCGCCCTCTTTGTTTAAGTAATATCTCTGTTAACTCACATTATATTCAGCTGAGATGGAGAGTGATGTTTCTTGCCAGGTTCTTGACGGGCTAGCAGCTCGGATAACAACCGCGGTTCAAGGCTATCATCCTACATCAAAACTATTTGGGGAGTGTTGTTTGCAGGTATGCTATCTTTATTGCTTTTTATGCCGATTCATGAGGTATGATGTAACTAAACCACATTTAGGGATGGAACCGGTGACACGAATATGAGTATTGTATAAGTGAATAACAATAGTAAGAACAACCTGAGAGTCTAGATGGCGATTTCTTAGAAACATAATAAAAACACCTCATGGGTAGTATTAAAAATAAGAACTTTTAAGTCTCTCAAACTTTACTGCATTCATATAAGAGTACTAATTTATACGGAGAAGCGAATAAACTAATTTCATTATGTGATCTCAATTGTTTGAGTCGCTACCACAGTTTTTTCTATAGTTGTTCATCTATCGGGGTGGCAGCTATATTCTTTGGATGTGAGCATCCCAAGCGTCATGTGATATGGAGTTTCTATTGCTGAGTTATTATTTTCCTTCCACATACGTTTGACCAGCCTAGCTTTTTAAGTGAAATGGACTTCCCCAGTTTAGTCGGCATTAGTTCCTTGCGTATTCCTCAACTCCCAAACTAGAATATCGAGCAGATTAGGACGACATGTGACAAAGTGTAAAATCGATAGTCTCAAAGCTCCTAGATACACATTTGGAGTTTGAACAGACGTCTTACAAATGAAAAAATTCACAAAGCCTAGAATTGTAATGCTATTAGGCCTGGGATTATGATTAATTGGAATGATTTGTTTATTTATATTTATTATTTTAATACTTCTCTAAAAGGGAGATGAAGATCTCTTCGACTCAGGTATATATTAAAAAAAGGAAAAAAATTCAGCGGTAGGTTTTATAAGGTTCCTCTTGCAAAAGTTATTTCATACACAGTGAGCTTTGTTCAAGGTTTAATAGATTTTGGTGGCTAAATGATATGAGCTGTAATTTGGCAGGTCCCAGTGGGCGTGGTTGAAGCCATGACAGTGTTAAAACATCCATTGGCCAGTTTCAAACACCTAAAGGTTGCTTTGTTGTGAGTTTTCAGTTCCTTAAGGCTTGGGTGCTATTTTATGGTCATATTTAAGCTGAAAGTTGAGATATATGCATTGTTTACAGCTGATTTTTGGATACTAATGAAAAGTTCCGCATTTTGAAAAGTTATTTTTGGACTTGTAAGCTGATTTTTTGAGTGCAAAATGCAAATTTTACACTTTTTACAGCTTATAGGTGCTGAAATAGAAAAAAATCTGCAATCTTTTCTTGGTGTTCAATCTGATTTTGAGTTCATCAGATGCATCTAAGCTGCAATATGATGTTATTAGATGTATATGAGCTGCTTTGCATGTGCTTGATATGACTTTACCTTCTCATATGCCGCATTTTGTTTTGAAAAGTGCAAAAAGGCACAAGAATTTGTTTCCAGAACTTGATTTGAGGCTTAAAATCTGCTTCTTTAAATCTGATTTTTATCTCTTCAAAGCTAAAGACTTGGTCTTAGTCATGTTTTTGCAGATTTTGGGTCCACCGAACACATCAAGGAGAGGAAAACGATAAACTGATGCTGCGTATACTTTTTTGTTGAATTCCCCAATCTCCTTCTCTCTTTGCTAAGCTTGTTTTATATTGCCATTTGCATACCATATAGATGCATTGGGGACTATGCACATTTTAAGTGTGGGGGGAGTTGCTTATGCTTGTGTCATTGCTTAAAAAGACTTTTGGGGCAAAAAAAATTTCAAAAAAATAGGTTTTGGGTCCAAATATTTTCATTCTTAGTTGCATATCTTCTTATTTAGAGCATTGTTTTCAAAAATTGACCCAAAAACCTCATTGTTTTCCTTGGGGCTTTATTCTGAAAGATAGCAAGTGTATATTTTATAAACCCGCATTGAGTCTTATGCTCTTTTCTTGGTAAAAAAAATGACCTTAAAATGTTTGAAATCCTTCTAGGAATCCCATAGAATTTTGTTTTCTAGAACTGGCCATCCACATACTACCTAGATGATGCCTTATCAACCATTGCTTGATATTAAAATCTGGGAAAGAAACCAGTTTTAGTAGCCCTTTTATTTTTAGAAAAGCGTGTGATTTTAATATTCTTAGGCTTATTGATGAACCTTGCTATCGCTGCTATTGAGCCGTTCTAAACCATAGGATTTCGCTAGGAATCTTTTTTGTAGCAGCTTTAGAGCATTTGTTAGAACCCAAAAAAAATCCACACCTGAGTTTTCCATCCTTGTAGGATTTCTAGCTCACTTTGTTTTTAAAATGTGAATGAGCATAAAATCTTAAGTGTGGGGGTTTAAGGTTCACTTTGTTTTTTCTTGATGATGATAAAAACAAATAATGTACTCTTTTTGGTCTTTTGAACGAGAACGTTCAAGTCTTAAGTGTGGGAGTATTTGATAAGTCGTTTTTGGGTTAGTTCTTTTTATTCTTTTTTAGGTATTTTTAATAATTTTAGTATTTAATTTTTAGTTGTTTAGCTTAGTTTTATTTTAATTATTATTTTTTACAATCTTATTATTTTCTTTCAAAAATAGTAGCTTTTTAATCATTTTTTTAACATTTTATTATTGTCTTCATTTTTATTTTATTTTTCCTAACCCACAATTATCAGATATCTTATTTTTTGGAGAAAAGTATAACAAAAGGCCAAAGTGCAGCTCAAGTTTGGAAAGAAGAGAAAGATTTTGGATCAGAGCCCAAACCCAACATTAAAGAATCAGCCCAAAACCTTACCTCCCTCCACTTTACTTTTACTTTCACGCAAGGAAAAAAAAAAGAAGTCAAAGAGCAGAGGTTCTTCCTCTTCGTAGATTGCAGAGCGCATAACTCCTCCAACGTTCGGCTCCATCAAATTCGCGACATTCAATTCTCAACGGGAAGTAATTCAACGGTAAATTACTCCTTCTTGCTATAAATTAGAGCAACATCAACACATTTGAAGAAGGGGGGGAAATATCACGCAGAGAGCCGCGGCAACTGAGATTGAAGCCGCGCACCAGAGGAGGAAGCAGACGGCGGCGGACCACTGCTCGCCGGCGGACGACGATGGTGGGGAGCAACCTTTCTTCGAGCTCCAATCCCTTAATTTCTTCATCTTCTTCAACAAAGTGGTAACCCTAGCTTGTTTCTCCAATTTTGTTCTCCAATTCTTTGTAAAGTGTTGTTTTTAGTTTAATTTTTACATTTTTGTTTATTTGTTTGTGTTAATTTCATAAATTCCAAAATGGTTGGTGTTCTTTTATGGGTATTTTCTTTAATGTTTATATATATTCCCTTATGAATGAGAATTGATTCTTTCTTATTTACTTCAATTATTGCACAAGTTGTTAAATTGATTGAATTGTTTCAAATTCATAAGTAGGTTGATATGTGGAATTCGGTTTTTGTTGAAGCTATTTTAGCTCCATAAGATAGTTAAATAAACTCTGAATTTATACGTGTTCCTTTGTTGTGCCTTGTGTTCGTTGATTTTAAGGAATTTGGACTTCTTAGCCCCATAAGTTGATTCATTTTTCTTAGAATTCGTTATAAAGTGATTTTGTTATGTTATGTGTTTGTTTCCATTTTCTTTGAATTGAGATTGTTTAAGTGCAATAAACAATTCTTGATTTATTGAAAATACGTTGTGTTCTTCTATGTGAATAGAAAAAAACGTCATTGGTTTGAGAAGTTCATGGAAATCTGTGAAATGTGCTCATCATTAGAAGAAAAAGTTTATTAAAATGCACAAGGTATTAGCGGTTTGTGAATATATTATGCATGAGAGTTAGAATGAAAAAAAATTCGCTCTTTTATAAACTTATTCTATACTGGAAGTATGTTTTCATGCTTGATTGGTGAGTTGTGGTTCTTGATTTGCCTCATTATGAAATTCTTGAATTATACGACTCCGGGCCGTGTGGAGAGTTTACAATCCTCCATATCGTGGTTAAGGAAATGAATCGACTCTACCTTTGATTGATTTTTCCTATTCTTAAGTGCGTAAGTTATGTAATATATTGTTTACGTGCCTATTATACGTGTAATGTTTGTTTTGTGTTCTCTTTTTAATTTTGTTTCGGGTTCTTGGTGGTGTTTCGTGGGTTACCTAAGTTGGAAAAGTTTATCTTTTGAGCTTGTTTTTTCCCCCATTTTATCAAAAAAACCAAAAAAATAAGAAAATACATAAAAACCANCCCCCCCTCTGTTTATATTTATATAAGTTTTTTAATAAGTTATATTATAAGTTCTTTGTTTATATAAGTTATATTTATAAGTTTTTATATTTATTTAGTTATAAGTTTTATTATGTGTGTAGTAGTTAATTTTTTTTTTTTAGTGACAATGTGTTTGCATGCTAAATCCTTTTATATATATAAAGCAGAGTCGGGGTTATAAGAACGTGACATTTGGCAGAGCTAAAGAGCGACATGTGGCGAGCTGATGTGCCGACATTTGGCAAAGCTAAAGCGCGACATGTGGCGAGCTGATGTGTCACCCTTTTAGACAAATCGATCAGTTTTTTTTCCAAAAGCATACCACCATGGGGTTTGAAACAAGGATCTCTTGGTCATTCAAATGAGTTCCTAACCATCCAAGCTAGGGTGCTTTTTGTTACAATCTCACTTAAGCTTTTATAATGTTTCATAATTAAAAAAGGATTGTATAAAAATTTTCTTTTAGTTATAAAAAATATAATCCTTTAATATAATATTTGAGACTCCGTTTGCTAGAAAGTCGCCAAGTGTCAAGCTTATGTAGGCTATATGAAGGTGAGATGGCAAGTCTTTATTGGTTGCTTATGTGGCAAATTTTATTAATGATAAATTGACCTTTCTTTTTATTTTAAAATAGAAATTTAATAATGATTTCAAATTTTGGAAAAATTTTACGTTAAAAGATTTACTCCCTCGTCCCAATTTAAATCGCATGTTTTGACTTTTTGGCATATTTAAGGAAAATAAAAAATAGAGTTGATTTTTTGAAATTGACATTACTTTTTAGAAGGGGTGATGATGAATGAGAAGATAAGGTGAAGAAATGTGACTTATTTTAGAGGTAGTTTAAGTATTTTATTTTTAAAAGTTTACGAAAACAACTAACAGGCAACTTATTTTGGGATGGAGAAAAAAGGTAAACAGACAATTTAAAATGGGAAGGAGGGAGTAGTACAAATAAACAATTCATTACTTCGTGACATTAGTTGAGTATTTATATTTTTTATATTTAAAAAGCAAATCATCTATTTATTTGTTATGACGTGATAAAATTAATTATGGAGTATGTTATAAAATCAAATTTGTGAAAGATAAACATAGTATTGACCCAAATAAAATTTTTCAAGGAAAACAATTATATAAAACATAATTTTATGATAAAACTCATTATGATGTAGCAAACAATTAATGAAAATAAAAAATTGATATTATCACTTACCATTTCAAGACTAGCATTTTTTATGAATCAAATTTTTAACTAAGTGCATACACAAAAAAAAATTTGATAATGATATATTCTCATTTAAAAGTATTCTTATAGAAAAGGATGAGATGTGATATTGTTTAGGAGACATTTCTGATATGTAAAATATATTATAGAAAGTATGAAGTTAATACTATTGTATGAAGTCCTTCGGTACATTTAATTATGAAAGAGAATATAAATATTCGTTTTTATAATAAGTTATTTTCTAATTATGTATAATTTTCTATTCAATTATTACAAAACTTCTAAAAGTGTGTTCGGTGAGCAAAAAAATATGAGTTTTGAATTTTGATATCTCTATATATATCCTTATCCTTTTATGGTTTTTGCTGAAGCCAAAAGAATTATCAAATTTAATATCTGCAGATACCATAAATCTTTAAAATTGATAGTCTCAATATCTCCTGAATTTGGGAGATATCAATATAAGGGTTTGATATCTCTCTCAACTATTGATCATTCTTCGTCACTCGCTACCATTATCACTGCCAACCACTCCCGTTGCCAGTCACCTTTTCTTATTACTAATAAAATCCTGAAGTGTTTAAACCATACGGAGTATTAATTAGCAGAATTATTTAATTTGACTTTTGTACTTTATTTTTCTAATAATTTGACCTATTATTTTAATCAAAGAAGGTTTGCACTGTAACTTACCATATTTAAGATGTAACTTAACATGTATAAATTTATATTAGGTAATAATTCACAATATTGATGAAGCGATATAACATGGACTTTCACAAAAATATTTCTATAAGGAAAATTAAGATCAGGAGGTTGAGAAACGCGTGAAGATCTCTGACAATTAAAATTTAGATGCAAGGATAATCAGTAATTTAAGGAGAAATACGAAGAATATCTTCTGTGCAGAAGTGAATAAGATTTAGGTTAAACTACACCATCAAAGATAATTATAATTTTTAAATTGTAACTCTTTGTATTTTATAAAACATTATGTATTGACCAAAATAATTTCACACACTTAAATGATTTAATATTTAAAAAAGAAAACAAAAAAATGAGTAAAAATTGTGAAATAGTTTTTGCATTAAAATCATAGAATCACTAATGTTTTTTTTGCATTCACATATTTTTTGAAATAATACGAGGGAGAATAATCATTATATTTTTAACGTATTGTAAAATTTATATTTCTTATCATATGATTGTTAATTTATGTTTTCATACTTTTAATAATACAAGAAAAAAGATGAATTAATTTATTTTTAAATTGTAACTCTTTGTATTTTATAAAACATTATGTATTGACCAAAATACTTTCACACACTTAAATGATTTAATATTTAAAAAAGAAAACAAAAAAATGAGTAAAAATTGTGAAATAGTTTTTGTAAAATTTCATTAAATTCATAGAATCACTAATGTTTTTTTTGCATTGACATAATTTTTGAAATAATACGAGAGAGAATAATCATTATATTTTTAACGTATTGTAAAATTTATATTACTTATCATATGATTGTTAATTTACGTTTTCATACTTCTAATAATACAAGAAAAAAGAGTCAATTTTCAGTTAGTGCAAATCGCCAAGGAGAGAAAGAATCACATTAATGCATCATAGAAATTAAAATCATACATTTCCGTTAATGTAAATTAATTTGGCGGAGAGAATCATGATTTTCTTATATTAAAATTACAAGATCGGAACTCTAAGTTTGTTAAATAAATCTGGGGGAGAAGAATAATAAAATCACCAATATTTTTGTCGTATATTTTTTTAAATTCAGGGGTGAGAAGAATTATATATTTGTAATAATTTAGTAAACCTAGATTTTGTGTGTGTGTGTGTGTACATTTATCTATGTGTGTGTGAAATTTAAATGATATATAACATTAACAAAAATTAATTTGTTTAAATATTTGATATTATATAATAAAAAAGAATTTCGTTCCACCCGTGCATGGCACGGGTTAGAATACTAGTTGGTTTTAAAAAGTACAAACTTTCTCCATGGTATCGACCCTTACTTGCCCTAGCTATAGTTTTTATTTGATTATATATTGGGGGTTAGTTAAGGATATTTTATAAATTTTTAATTTGTTTTAGACCTTACGACAAGTCCCCAACAACAAGCTCCACCAGTGCAAGGAAACAATGGCAATAGGGGTGCATACAAATCAAATAAAATGTACTCGATTCGTGATTCGTATTCGAAAAGGATGATTCGTATTCGCTATATTCGAATTCGAATCCGAATACAAATCGTACTTTAGATTCGAATTATTTTTGAATTCGAATACAAATATTAATAAATTCGATTCGTTTATTATTCGAATTATTCGAATATTATAATTTATAAATAAATTTATATATATTCTAATATATTAATATTTGTGTACATATTTTAGCATATTTTAATATTTTAATTTTTTGTGTACATATAAATTTATATATATTCGGATATTATAATTTATAAATAAATTTATATATATTCTAACATATTTTTACTACATTTTACATTAATATAAAATAATAATTTAATGTCTTTAAGAAATCTATTTTAAGAAAAAAATTACTAATATTTTCGAATTCGAATACTCGAATACGAATTAAAATACGTCAAATATCTATCGAATCGAATACGAATGTTTTTTAAAATTCGAATTATATACGAATCCGAATTCGAATACATATCACTTTAATCGAATACGAATCGAATAGTGATATATTTGCTTCGATTCGATTCGTATACACCCCTAAATGGCAACAACAGCAATCGAGTTCCAGCAAGAACATATG